TGGGTTCCGAGTAGATGGGGTCGCAGGATCGCGCCGCATCGCCGATGCATCGCCGATGCATCGGCTCGATGCTGCTCGATGCGGAGCCAGTATTTCCCCACGCCGACGGCGCCGATGCCTCGCCGGCGTCGCCGATGCATCGGTGATGCATCGCCGATGCATCGCCGATGCGACGCGATCCTCCGACCCCGTCTACTCCGACCCCATCTAGGAGGCCTCTAACGAACCCCCGCGGAGGCCGCGGCAGGCGACCTCGGGGGCGATCCGGTTGTGACAGAGCACGACTGGAGCCCCGGGGCCCAACCATTCTGCGGCAGTCTTCGTTGGATCGATCTGCGATGGCCCCCGGCCCGAGGAGAAGCTGCAGCGCCCGGATGCAAGGGGTGGTCGCTGTTCGGGTGGGTTCGTCGGCCGCCCTCCTACCCCGTGCAGGCGCCCCCAGCCCCTTGTCAGCTGGAAAGGTGTGTGACCGAACAAAGATCAGGAGGGAACAAACACACACACAGACAATTCATCGTCGATCCCCCAGAAAATTATGGGAAAATATGGGAAGTGGGGGGGAAGACAAAAACCCAGAACATAAGGGGAAATGTGGGGAGTCTGGTTATTTGTGTCTACTTATTTGTGTGTCCCAGTTCCCCTTCAAAAGATCGGTGACCGAAAACATGCACATGTTCAGAATCGTAACCGACATGATGTATAGTCTCCTTGGTTTCGAGCCAAGATCGGCGTCACCCCAACATGCTGATACTACATGTGCGTCGCCCCCCCCATGGGTGGCGCGCGCACCGAGAAATCTTGTAGTGTATGCGTCGTGGCGGACGCTTTCTGGTCACATTGCTCGGGAAACGATATACTGCAAGATGGGTGTACCATATCTTCGGGTCGGACGCGCGCCTCCAAGGAGGACATATCGTACTAGTATGTCTCTGTGCGTCCCACGAGAATTTCGGCCACACACTGGCGCGCTCGGGCACTGTCGGGCACCGGTTTCGGTAACCCTCGGGCGGATGTTCGGGCCTCGTCTCCCGGAGGTCCGACGTGGCCAACACACTGCAGCATCGCGAAGAAGCACGCCCAGAGCCCCATGCCCACTGTTTTTGTGCATCGTTGCTCGAGCCGAATCGATCTGTGAGGGTCTCGGGGCCGGGACTGGACGAAAAAACGCCCGCTGTGAGGCATCTGCAGCGCCCGGGTCCCAGGAGTGGGCACTGTTCGGGTGGGTCCTACAACCCCGTGCGAAAAGCAACGGGTGTTTGGTGAGCCCCCCGGCCCCCCATTTCAATGTTGATCGCGCGGCCCGCGAAGTTCGAAAAAAAAATGACACCGCATTGAACATTGAAATTGGGGTGGTGTGGGGTGGGGCGGAGGTGTGTAGAACGACACCAGTTGCTTTGTGCACCCGGGGGGTAGGCGCCCAGCGTCGCGATCTTCTCAAGGCACGGGCCCCCGACCTCTCGACCACGTCCCTTGGACCAGTGCTTCATCCCGATTTGTTTTTTTGACGGTCTTGGGTCGCCCCCATGAGGCCGAAAACTGCGACAAAACCTTCGTCGCGCTTTTTCCCAATGCGCTGGGGGTCTGGACCCCCCCCGCGGCGACCGCAGCAGGCGACCTCGCAGGCCGGCCCCCTGGGCAGCGATCCCGCGGATACGGGGCGTTCGGTTGCCCATCGCACGTGTGGGAACGCTTGAGGAAGGGATAATTACGATTCATTTTGCGCGGATTCCCCGAGCGGAACGTGTCCGTGCGACCGCGTATCCGCGGGATCGCGCTCCAGAATCCATTCCGCCCGGTCGTTTTCGGGTCATAAACCGGGCCTCCGGCGGCCGTTCGGGACGATCCTGGCACCCCTACAGGAAAGCTGTCGACAGGGCAAAGCTCGTGGAGAGCACCCCGAGGAGGGACAGCCTCCAAGCGCCGACGAAAGACCCCGCATCCGCAAGCCAGCGGAAGCGTCACGAGGGCGCCGATATCGTGCCCTCCGCCCTCCGAGAGGCACCCGCAGCGGCCGCAGCGGGGGCGACCTCGCGAGGGCGCCCTCAGTCGCGCGGGGCCCCCGGGAAGAGCCCCGACCCGTTCCCCGGGGCCGGTTTTCATCCCGAGTCGCTTCTCGGGGCTCGCGGGGTCAATGCACTTCAAGCGGGGGCCAGTCAGAGCGCCGGATCTTGCAGGATCCTGCAGAGCCAGGGGTGCCCTGGCTTGGGCGCAGGGTCCTGCAGGATCCTGCAGGATTTTGCAGGATCCTGGCTGACCCGCGCTTGTGGATTGACCCGCGCCAGTAGCTCCCCGAGCTTGCTGACGGTCCTTGGGCCCCGCGAGGCTCCCCGGAGGCCGAAACCGGCCAACAATGAAACCGGCCAAGAACTGTTCGTCGTTTGTTTCTTTTGTAAGAATGGGGATCTAACGCTTCCGCAAAACTATCGGCCCATATGCACAATGCCATTAAGTACTTGACAAGCTTTTCAACCGACTTATCTACAAAAGACTCCAACCAACA